CAAGTAGCTAGGATTACAGGCATGTGCAACCACTCCCAGCTAATTTTTGTATTTTTTTTTTTTAGTAGAGATGGAGTTTTGCCATGTTAGCCAGGCTGGTCTTGAACTCCTGACCTCATTTGCTTGCCTCAGTCTCCTAAAGTACTGGGATTATAGGTGTGAGCCACCAAGCCCAGCTGTCTTTAGGTTTTTCTAAAGACAAGATTATAACATCTGCAGACAAAGATCTTGACCTCTCTTTTTCCAGTTTGGATGCCCTTTATTTCTTTCTCTTGTCCAAGTGCTTTAGCTAGGACTACCAATAATATGTTGAAGAATAGTGGTGAAAGTAGACACCCTTGTTGTGCTCTGGATCTTAGAGCAAAGACTTTCAGTTTTTCCCCATTCAGCGTGATACCAGCTGTGGGTCTGTTGTACATGACTTTGATCATGTTAAGGTGTTTTCCTTCTATTTCCAGTTTCTTGAGAGTTTTTATCATGAAAGGATGTTAAATTTTATCAAATGCCTTTTTTGGCATCCATTGAAGTGATTATATAGTTTTTTGTCCATTATTCTGTTGATAAGATGTATCACACTGATTGATTTGCATCAGCCACAACCCACTTTAGATGCTGTGGGAGTGCCCGTTCCCTAGTCACCCCTCTGGGACTGTTTCACACGTTTATATTCCTTGGCTGGCCCCATCAGCATTTGAGTTTGAGGGCCCTGTCTAAAGTGTTCAGACTTTTGAAAAGCAGAAGCCAGAAAGGCTTATAGATGAATGCTGCGTGGATCAGAAGAAAGGAAAGAGAAGAGGAAAGAAAAGAAAGCCCAAGTTAACATGTCAACATGTTTCCGGGTTTAGAGCGAGAGGTGGGGAGGATTGGATAAGTGGACTCACAACTGTGTTTTCTCAACCAGGATTGACCCAGGAGGCCTCAGTGCACTCCAAGAACACTGGCAGGGAGGAATTCCTCACCGCCTTCCTGCAGAACTATCAGCTTGGCTACAGCAGGGCCTACCCCAGCCTCCTTATCTCCAGTCTGTCAGAGAGCCCCGCCTCGGTCGTCATCCTCAGCCATGCAGATAATACCTCACAGCAGGTCACAGTGAGGCCCAGGGAGTCAGTCATGGTCAACATCAGTGCCAAGGCTGAGATGATGGGCAGCAAGACCTTCCAGCATGCGGTGGTGGTCCACTCTGACCATGCCATCTCTGTGCAGGCACTAAACACCAAGCCCGACACAGCGGAGCTGACACTGCTGCGGCCCACCCCGGCCCTGGGCACTGAGTACTTTGTGCTCACGCCCCCCGGCACCTCAGCCAGGAATGTCAAGGAGTTTGCGGTGGTGGCCGGTGCTGCAGGTGCCTCGGTCAGTGTCAAGTTGAAGGGGTCAGTGACATTCAACGGCAAGTTCTACCCAGCAGGCGGTGTCCTAAGTGTGACTCTCCAGCCCTACAATGTGGCCCAGCTCCAGAGCACAGTGGATCTCTCGGGGTCAAAGGTCACAGCCAGTAGCCCTGTGGCCGTCCTCTCTGGCCACAGCTGTGCCCAGAAACACACGAGCTGCAACCATGTAGTGGAGCAGCTGCTACCCACATCGGCCTGGGGCACCCACTATGTAGTACCCACTCTGGCCTCCCAATCCCGCTACGATTTGGCCTATGTTGTGGCTAGCCAGGCCACAAAGCTGACCTACAACCATGGGGGTACCGCTGGCTCCCGTGGGCTCCAGGAGGGCGATGTGGTAGAGTTTGAGGTCCGGCCATCCCGGCCACTCTACCTGTCTGCAGATGTGGGCATTCAGGTCCTGCTGTTTGGCACAGGTGCCATAAGGAATGAAGTGACCTATGACCCCTTCCTGGTCCTGATCCCCAGTGTGGCAGCCTACTGCCCTGCCAATGTGGTCAAGAGTGTGCCAGGCATTGAGGTCGTGGCCCTGGTGGTGGCACAGACAAAGGCTACCAGCGAGCTGACCATAGATGGGCAGGCAATGGGGGCCAACCTCGCCTGGGCAGCTGTGCCAGGCAGCGAGTTCTCGTACGCTGAAGTGGAGCTTGGCACGGCCGACGTGGTCCACGTGGCCCAGGCCACCACCAACTTCGGGATGCTCACCTTCGGGCTGACCAAGGCTGTGGGCTATGCGACAGCAGCTGACTGCAGCCAGAGTGAGTGATGGAAAATGACCCCTGGCTCTGTCTACCTGGTGACCGCCTTCCCACCCAGCTGCTCCTCTGTGGCTTTCAGGATCAGCTGGGCTGTCCTCCCCTCATCTCCCTTCTCTGAGACATCCTTCCTCAAGCTTTCTCAGCCCCTCCCCTCCTCCCAGAAACAATATTCTAAATATTTAGCAACCAGGGCGAGCTGGAGCACTACCAGTCAGAAGAGTCAGCAGCAGGAGCACTGCAACAGGGTCCTGAAGCCCCCACCAAACCGGCATCAGCCCTTGTCTGTTGGTTTGTCTGGGAAGGGTCCTAGGGGAGAGCCAGGGTGCTGAGAAGGAGGGATCTTTGGGGTTGTGGGGGGACAGTCAGGTCAGCAGCTTCTTACCAGCCACTTTGGAAATATTTTGATATTTTAGCAACTGACATAGCCATACCAGTTGCTAAGCTGCTCCCCACACCTCAGATAGGAATGTTGATACCCAAACTCAGGAGGTCTAAATGTACAATAATCAGATGATGACTACGTGTTGCAGAGGGGGAGTATCTTGCAGTCTTTCTAGATGTTCCACGTGTTTTTGACACAGTTAGTGTATACGACCAGGCAGTCTGTGCGACCTCAGGCTCAGCCCACGAGAAGCTGCTGGTGTAGCAGTATGGGGTCTGAGGACACACATGCTACAGCCAGGCTCCCAGGGTTCAAACCCCAGCTCTGCTGTGTATCTTGGACAAGTGACTTCTTCTCTCTGGGCTTCAGTGTCCACATCTGTAAAATGGGGATAACTGCTTCTCGCTCAAAACTTTTTTTGTTTTAGAGATAGGGTGTCACTCTGTCACTCGGGCTGGAGTGCAGTGGTGTGATCATAGCTCACTGCAGGCTTGAACTCTTGGGCTAAAGCAATCCTCCCTCAGCCTCCCAGGTAGCTGGGACTACAGGCAATGCACCACCACACCCAGCTAATTTTTAATTTATTTTTTTGTAGACACAGGGTCTTGTCATGTTGCCCAGGCTGGTCTCAAATTCTTGGGCTCAAGCGATCCTCCTGCCTCAGCCTCCCAAAGGGCTGGAATTACAGGCCTGAGCCGCCATTCCCAGCTGTAAAAACTTTTGAGGCCAGGGAGACAGATAGAGGAAAGGCTATTTCTTTCCATGTAGTCCCTGTCACGCTAGGACTCTGGTGTTCCTGGACCTGGCAAAAATACCCCTCCCCTGTCGTCCAAGGCATGGAAGCCACCAACTTCAAAGAGCCATTTTGGGCTTGAGAAATAAAACAAGGGAGCAGTGGGTGATTAATTATAATGGGTAACGCTCCATTTAACACCTAGGTTCAGTTCTAAAGCTTTCTTGGGTTTGTTTGTTTATTTTGAGACAGTCCGGCTCTGTTGCCCAAGCTGCAGTGCAGTGGCATGATCTTGGCTCACTGCAACCTCCACCTCCCAGGTTCAGGCA